CTTAGGCAGCTTTTTATATACTGCTTTGGTTTTTTAAAAATGATGCAAGTTTCATGTATTTTTGCACACAAACCGTGAAAAGCGATTGTCGCAACGCAAAAGTGGTTTTGAGGCCACGTCTGCATCGCATCATTGTCGAATTCGTCTTCACCATCCTCTCTAGCGTTGCAATAACTTCTACACCACGAGTGGCACGAATAATCGCACCGCACCTTCTCGCCTTTCAGAACGGCCTCTTCTGGATTTCAGGCGTACGCAACAATTGATTGTCCACATTGTGGTGAAATTGTAAGGGAAGGAAGACCACTCTGACATGCTTTTCCCCTACTGAAAGCATGAGAATGGAGGAGAACACTGCCTCCTTCCCTGTCCGATGTGGATAGACTTTGGAGGTGGGAAGTGCTTGTTGACGCGACTGCTATTGGGGCGGCAGACGGTGTATGAAAAGCGCAGGCCACTGTCATCTCCCGCTCTGCGAGGTCCACAAACCGGTCTCCTTTCTAGTGGTCTTGTTAGTGGTGATTGATTGCTGTGAAGCGATTTTGCTCCGTGATGAATGTGGCTGTGAAGGTGTAAGACGGTTCTGGGCGGACGCACGAGTTTGACCCTCCTTGGGGCTGGGGGGGAGGGAACGCGACTCTCCCATCCGGTGGTTGAGGTGAATGGGGAGTTTGTTAAGTGAGGGGTGAGGCGTGACGAGCGACTAGTTGTTTGTCTTGGAGGCATTGCTTAGAGTTCGGTTGGGTGGATGGATTGGACGGATGCTCATGTTTCATCACTCGTCCATCTGTGCTGAGCAGTGCATTTACCTTGCCTTGGGAGCTTCGTCACGTCGTAGTAGTGTACCACGGGCGAAAAGCCGCCGCGAACTTGTGGAAGAGTGACCTTTTAGAGTATTTTGTAACGAGTGCGCAGAAACCAAGTGAATGTGACGGGAATAAATCTTAACTTCAATGGATCCTGCAACTGAATGGCATCAATGCAAGAAAGTTGAAATCACTTGACGTGGGGTCTCAAATTGGCTTGATTTGGTATTTATAATTAAAGGTCAAATCTCGCAAGGCACCTGCAAATTATTATGCTGTGTATCTCTTCGACCGAAATATTCGCGCGGATTTTTCGTAGGTGAATGGAATTCATAAGAAGATAATACAAACTTCACTGAAGAAGCGGAGGAGGCTCAGAGTCCAATGCACATCTAAATTGCATGGTTGTATCTTCAAAAACCACATTCTCCATTTTAACGATGTGTGTGCGTGTTGGAGAAATTTCTCTACTTTTAGCTGAAGATGGAGCAGAACCATAGAATTTGCATTTTTTGTTGCTCTGTGTGGAAGGCCTGACTACTAAGGCGCGCACCTCCTCCACTGAGCAAGTAACAAAGGAAGGTGGGTGTGTGCACGCCTGTGCAAGTCCAATTTTTAGAGCGGCGTACAGGAAGGGGCACCATAGCGTCAAGATGCGGAGGTGTGGAAAGGGTGAAGACAGAAATTTTAACTCCATTCATTCCCCTCTCATAGTAATTTCCACGAGCTACCTCATGACAATTTTGCTAGTGCACGTCAGAGCGCCGGCAGATGGTGTGCGAGGTTCAGCCTCCAAGTCAGACCATCTACTTGTATATCTTTTTCACAATTTTCCACTCCTTTGAAGCTGCAGTTGTGGCAACTCTAAGTGGGGGGAGGCGTCTGATTCTAATTTGCGTCTTTGGATGGTCAAAGTGCAAAATGTCTGTTTCAGGGCCTCCGCATTGACACAGTTGGTGGATGGTCGCCGTAACTACTTCTCCAGCTAACACAGGCATAAACACGTAATGAACGCTTTAAAGTTGTAGGTCGGCTTAACTGATTCTGAGGTCTCCGGTTCATAAAGCGTAGTAAAATCCTTTCAATTTTCCATGTGTCCTCTTTGAGCGGCTGCATTTACCACTGATCGGTTTTAGTCTATCGACTTGCTTTTTTTAAATGACGAGAAACGTGTCAGTAAACTGTGACGTTAAGGGAGTTTAGTCTTCTGATTCACTGGAGAGGGATGCTATTGACACCGAAGCATTGTTTGGCACTCCGAACTCCCGGTGGTCTCACAATCTGTTTAAACTACTGTAGGAGCTCCTCTCCTCCTAAAATGTCTGATTAAGCAATTTTTCTATCCTGCGGAAGCTCTTCAAACCTTCACTATGGCTGAACAAGACCAGCGGGGCGGCTTGTATTCTTTTTTTGCCAGCAATCTCAGTAACCGCAACACGAGATACCCTAGCAAGTCTTCGATAGTGGCAGATGTTAAATGATTTAGAGGCATTTTTCGAGAAGGCAGATGCGGTAACTTACTGACCTCGTACAACTCTTTTTTTCTGCAATTAATTTCCCTCAATCGCCATTTTCTAAAGATGGAGCGATGTAAACAAAAGCAACAGCCTTTTGGTCTTGTGATTTGTGAGTTGGTAGCCGTCAGATTTGAGGGTTACTTTAACAACCTCTCTGTTGTGCATCCAGGGTTGGAGTCAGAGGTGCTACCGATTTATGGTCTCACTCAATCGTCAGTGTTTTACTGCATATGTAACAGAGTGGAAGCCTGCTAAGGTTCATCGGATTGGCAGATTTTAAGCGTTTAGCTCTCCTTTTTCTGCCTTTTCAGCATGGCTACATCAGACGAAATTCCTCCGCTGATAATGACTCAGCCAATCAGGAGGAGGTGTTAGAAGACTCCACCGAAAACGATCTTGATGACCTCCAATCACAACGCGCTCTGGTTGAAGCTGAGTTGCGACGTCAAGCCAAGGCTCCTCCTGGACTGAAAATTAGAGATCTCCTCGCCTGTCGTTCGATAATCGAGGACGAAGATGACGACGACGAGCATGAGGGAGAGGAAGGCAGAGAAGAATGCACCCAAGAGAAGAAAGAGGTGTCAAAGCCTAAAAAGGTTGAGGGTAACGAAGACCTTGACGTGAGCAGCGCCCAAGTGAAAACGCCCTGAAACATTCACATATAAACTCAGACGGTTACAAGCCAATCACACACGCATACACACACACACACACAAGATGTACATTCAAGATTATGACTTATTAATCCCTATTTAAGCAGCAAATTTAAGAATTTTTGAAATACAGGAAGAAAGGGTGACTTTAGGGGCATGCAAAAACTAAATCAAACATTGTTACGGAGGTCTACTTTTAGGCTAACTTTTGACATTCATTGGAGGATTTTAAAAGCGTAACCACTGGATGAAGAAAGTGCTCCCTCCAGTAAGGCTAGCAAAGAACCATTCAAGTTGGTTTGAGCTCCTGCGTACCCTCTTAAACAGTCGTTGACACACCTCTTTTGCGATAGCTGTAACAACGCAAGACTTCCCGTTCGGTAGCAGACAAAAGGTGAAGACGAGGCCGTGGCCTGCCCCGAAGGCAACTCAACGCGGCCAATGCAAGTTGGTTGTCAAAGTGACTGTCATTCATGCAAGTAATTAAATAACCAAAATATCTTAATAGCTGTAGACGGCACTAACGAGCTCCAACTGTAGCAAGCGTAGACCTGAAGCACCGAATTCTAGGGGACCGAAAAGACGAGGGCATCTTTTCTCTTCTGCCCTTAATTTCTGCAGTTTGAATGTGAAGATAATACAATTTGCTGAGGAACGAATCAGTGAAGTCCTTCTTCCTACAAGGTGATTTAACATCTTGCTAAAGGATGTTTGCGCTTTACAATGGAGCACGTCGTGCAACACCTGAAGTTGGTGGTGGGGGGGATGCAATGGCAATCTGGTTAACTTTTATGTAGGAGAATCGGGAGTTTTAAGTAAGGTCCACCTAAAATCCACGAATTGCCATTACCTCCTCCTTTGGTGGTTAGCTGGTTCGCTTCAATCGCTATGACTTGAAGCGCCTTATTTTTCCTGATTACAAAGTAACTTTAGTTGTGTTTTCGCCCTTTCCCTCCTCCAAGGTGCAGCCGTCAGAGTAGAGCAACGGCCTCCTCAATCTCGCCCGGCTTACTACAGCAAGGTGCTAAAATAGGACAAAAAGTTGGGCAAATGTAGAGCTTTAAAAGGACCTTCTCCTCAGTTGTCACTAAAGAACAAAGAAGTTGAGTAGTCTTGAAGGCATTTCGAGTTTCTAATGCAGAAAGCTCTCATCGACCGAAAAGTCGGTGAAGATGTTGCAGCCAAGTGAATTTTTGGAATCTATGAGGATGCTTATTAAATGTTGAGGAATGTGAGTGTCTGTTTGCCTTTGGGTGAAAAACTCTAGCTTTGGATAATGGAAATTTGGGCATCTGCTACCACCCACTGACGCAGCATCCAAAAGTGCATCTTCCGTTTTGAAAGTGGGAGAATTGGAGCATTCGTAACTCCAAAGTGGCACACCGTAGTGGACAAATTGAGCAAATCACCTTATTTTTCAATTATCCTTGTTTCCTTCTGAAAACAGAAAGACACCTCTCGACCATCGCATAGTAAATTCCACAAATGACCACCTTTGCGAAATTGCACAATGCCACCATGATGGCGTTCCGCAGTGAGCCTGCAAAGTTTGTTTAACCTCCAATCCTGCCCGTGTATCATTGGGATTCCAGCCTTCCTATGCCAATAAAAAAGGCGGCATTTCTAGGGGCATATATTATCCCCAACTGGAAGGCGGCTATTGTGCTGTGGGCTCTCTCCGATCCCTCCCAATCACTACCAACGCCTTCCAAGCATCGCGGGCTATTCGCTGCAAGTGGAAGAACGCGAGAGTCTTCCTTCTCTCTTGCCCAAATTACGCCACGTTGACATTGTGGGGAGGTGGTGGAGCACTTTGCTCCTTGACCTTCTGGTGTACTCCTAAGCCTTGTTTAAAAAATGACCTTCATCAGCATCCAATCGCATCGAGGAATTTACCTGCCTAAGTTGGCACTATGGAAGATAATTGCTAGGGATTTGGGTTGCAGAGGTCACTTGATTTGCAATTATTCCAACGTTTGCATGCGTGCTCTCATGGGGCACTTTTAAGCTCTCAAACAGTGCTATGGATGGGAAGTCCCCAGAAGCGATGAAAAGGAGGTTAACTGCAGGGCTTTCAGGCGCCCTCGTGCCTCACGATAATTTTGATTAAATAACACCAGGGTCTGGCAAAAAAGGCACCAAACAGTGACTGTTAAATGCCATCAATTGGCACTCCACTTGTTGCTATTCAACAGGACAACTGGATTTGACATGCAAGACTTCCTGCCTAAATTTCACTACAGCACTTTGCTAGGAGGCTACACTCTATGGCAATTTATTTCCACCTTCAAAATGAGGCAAGATGAGGATGGTTATGCGAGGTCACCGTCCAGCAACTTGGAGGATGAGTGACAAAAGGATTGTGTAGAGTCTGAAAATGCGCGCAATCCCTAATCGTAGGTATCCATTTGGAAACAAAAGGAAAATCATTTTATACTGTGCAATATAAAGTGATTTATAAATGGTTTAAAATTTTGTGAGGAAAAGATATTTATCTTCTCCTCATTTCTCCCCTTTTCTCGAAACAATTCGAAGGAATTTTGTTCTATTTCCACTCAAACGGTTTATTCAAGCAAACACAGCAACTTCTCGTGGTTGGAGGTGGTGTTGCCTTCACTCAGCTATGCCATTAAGTCACCCTTTCCATGAGTCATGTGAAGACTCTTCTCCCTACCTTTAGGCTCAAATTCCTCCGCACTCAGCACATCTTTTGAGCTTCGAATTCCATTGTCACATAGCTCTTGCTTTTCATCCATTCAGGTAAGGCAAAATGCACGCCTCTGGCACACACTTGACACCGATGAGAAGCAAAGTCGTCATTGAGCTCCACGTCGGCATCAACTTTGTTCAACTGAAGAAGACTCGAGACGTGTTGCAACACCGTGAGGTGGTGGACGCCTTACCCTATTCAGGGCTCTTTACCAAGACAAACAACTTTTTAAAAGAAATGAACTAACAAATTAGGCACTCATCAGAAGGCAGTTAAGAGAGGAGTTAATTTTATCCAACTTATCACCAAAGTGCCAGAAAGTCGGACAAAAAAAACACCGTTTTGTTTTCTCTCCTTAAGAAAGGAAACAAGCGTTCAAATTCCACCTAATACCATCCAAGAAGGACTGTTGAGAGGTGGGGGTTGAAAGTTTTAGCCATTAAGAACAACATGAGTTTACTTTCGATAGGTTTTTTTTCTCAAAACTACCTTTGTCAGGTCGTATGCGTTTGTTCACACAAGAGGAGGCAGTCTAAGTCACACTGACTTTGTTGCTCATTCTAACCACCCGTTTGGATTGACAGAGAACCAAGTTGGAGAGGTAGAAAGAACAGCAGCAGGGGAGTAAGCCGCCATCCAGCGTCTTGTCAAACACTAGTGGCGGAGGTGCGCCAGCCACACAAAGGCTGGCATCCTCTTTACCCACCATGGCCCACAAAAACCGTGGCAGTAAATTGTGTTGAGGGGACAAAATACACATCTTTTCAACACTTTTATTTGGTTCCTTGTGATTGATTACACTGAAGTAGAGAATTCTTGTCATTTGAAGCTAACGACTTTTTTGCGGTTTCGCGACCGAATTGGATGGCCTCCAATTGTTAGATTCTGGTCGGTCTGGTCTGGACACTTCTTTATCCTGCCAATCTACTCACTGTCATTCACTCTCCAGGTTTAAACTTACAAGTAGGGTCCAAATGTTGTCGATTTCAACTAACAGGTGGCTTACACTGATTTCTGTGAGAGGAAAACGCAATATGACTTGCTTTAACCCTTACGACTGTGAAAATAATTTTCTTCACCTTCATACAAGCTCTCTGGGACGTTGTACGCATTGCTGCCTTCTTATTAATTCATTCACACTTTGATTTGTTTATTTTGTGGTGATGATTGTCCATTTCCTAAGTTGCGATGTTTCGACTGCCATTCCTTTGCGTCCTCAAAGCGGCTGCGGGAGTGATGACTCCACCGATAGTGGTAGTTGCGGTGGGCCCTTCATTTACTGCTCATTTTCGAGAGGTTTACCCACTCCTTAGACGGCAGACCTTTGACCCCATGCCGGGTACACACTGCAGGTGAAGAAGAGTTTGTAAACCGTCTCAGTGATAAATGACGCAATTCACACAAAGGTAAACGTCAAAGTCTAGTGAGAGATCGAACAAAGCCACAGGAGTTGCCGACGTGTTCGACTGAAGAGCAAACAATGAACTGCGCTTCCCTCAATCCGCATCGTATTGCCAGCAATTTGGATGTATAAGCCGCCAAATAATCGTAGACTAGACGTCATAAGGGGGTTTTGCCAAAAAAGTTGATTCTGTAAGTGAATGACAAATTAAATAGGCGGAGATTCTAAAACATCAGTACCTTTGGTCGCTGTGGTTACAAAACCGTTCTTACCTAATGCAACATCATGAAGGATTGTGTCGAGCACGGGCTGAGTGAAGGGTTGTTGAAGCTGTTGTTGTAGCTGTAGGTAGAAGTGGAAGCAATTAATGTACAATTCCTTTTGGATCGCCACCACTGACGGGTGCAATTTTCTGCGCAAAATCGCCTATAGAAACGGATTTCCGTTAATAAAAGGAAACATCCTCCATCTTCGATAGGCTTCGATGTGTGCATGATCGCCGTTGCCCGTCACCTGGGAAAAGACTGACTGAATTAAACTAGAGTGGGACGCACTACTCACTGCCGTGTCTTTAACCCCATGCTACGACAACTTCAAATAGAATTCGAGTCAATAGGTTAACTAAAAGTCTGCTATGAGGGTGACTGCTTTGGAATGTTTTCTACCTACCCATGTACTCGCTCCAGATGGGAGCACTTAAGCAGTTCCCAAAAGCAATTACAGAAGAAGAATAAAACGTGACAGCTAATGATTAATTCATTTCCTCGGGCCTGGAGGAATCTCAAAATGAGATTACATTTGGTTGGCAACTGTCCTCCGTTTGTGTGAAACAGGAGAGTCAGGACTTTATGAATTCCGGGAGGAGCCTCTTCATACGTGCTAGTTGGTTGGATGGTTTGGTGGACGAATGTATGGATGGCGTCTCTTTGGACTGCCACCTTGAATAGCTTTGGGTATTCAGCTTCCCTCACCCATTTAAGAGAGCATTAATAGATCTTCACGACGGTGGAACTGCCGTCCAGGACTCCAACATGTAATCACTCCAAAAGCCGATCCCTTCGATTCTACTGGTTTGGTTTGCACTCCTTGCATAAATACTCATCTTTTTCAATTTTAATTGTAAATTTCGTACTGACAGCAAAACAACCAAAGTACATCAGTCCTCCATTTACACAACCAAGTATCACAATGACTAAAACGTGTTAAAAAGGGCGACCATGAAAGGTGGTAACGGAAACGCTTTCGCATGAAAGAACGAGGAGTTTAATAGGCTCAGCAATCACTCTGGTACCCTCTCGAACATTTGATTGTTGAGGCAGCTGTGTCACGCATCTCATCTCATCTGAACAGAAGTGAAAATCTCACGGATTGGAGCGATTCTCAGAACGTACAAATTTTTAGCAGCAGCAAAAGTACATTTTAATCCAGTGGGAGGGGAGAGCAAAGGAGTGAATTGTTTATCGCAATTTGTCCTACTCGGGTAGTCACAAAGCCTGTCACTTCCACTTATGCAAATTTCTACTTTCCCCAACGGGAACAAAAGTAGTGGGCAGCGGCGAGCACTCCCCCGCTCCTCACTCAGCTCTCACCCACCTCCTGTTCTTGTTTATGCTATCCGCAAGGATATTTGCATTCGCCTTCATCTCCGTTCAGTGAAAAGTGCATTCCATATTTTCACCGTCATCTCTCCTGCCTTGTGGGAGACTAAAGGCGCCCACCTTGCAATAGTTTGGAATGTTGATGATAGAAAAAAGTGCGCAAAATGTCGAAACGCATAAAGTCGAATTCACGCTATGTAATTAACTCGAGACACCAACAACGATTCGCGAGTAAATTAGCTGGTTTCATTTATTACGGGAGGGGGAAGATGGAGGAAAGTGTGCAAGAAAGGAGAATGCCGTCCGCATTGTCGATCACTTTACGCTAATCATGCGCGATTTTAAGGTGGTGAAGTGACAATGCATCGTGATTGACTCGGAGGCTTGGATATCTGTAGTCAATTAGGCAATCAACGTGTAGGAGGAGGAGGAGGAGGAGGAGGAGGAGGATTCCTTAGCTCTTGCCCCAAATTCATCTTCAAAACTTCAGTCATTTTGAATGTCTCACTTGAGATGCGAATGCACCACCTTATTCCACTGTGAACGAAGATAAGAATTTGTTTATTTTTATCTTAAAGTCTGCTAAACATTGTCCCATGTGTCCAACTGCGCAGAGATCGGCACCAAATGTAAGAAAAACGGTAGCAAACTCGCAGGTCCACCTGGTGAACATTAAGCGCACGAAAAGTCCACTCCAAATATCACAGCTAAATTCCGCAAGGCTATCAGCCCAAAAGTGAGTTAAAGCAATGTTATATAGCATTTTCTAGGCAAAAGAGAAGTGGCACTTACTTGAGTCACGGGATCAAATATTTCAAAATTCAGCTCTCAAATAGGGCTTTTCCATCAAGGTTAATGCAAGGTGCTAGTGCCGTTTAATTGCGTGTATCAAATTTAACTAAAGCTGCTTACTTTAAGTGATGACTTTTCCTCCACCCCATATGACTATGCTGTGACACTGCAGGCGAGTACGAGACACGAGGGTACGACGCAGGCGGACTGTTGCGTTCGTCAGCGTGGGCGGTGGAATGGCCACGTGGGAACCAGTCCAGCTCACACGACGCTAGTCACAAAGGCAAGCATCGGTGGGTGAACACCGCCATGCGGTGCCATTCACTGTTATCCAATTAATCTTGACAATGACGGCTGTGTTTAACACTTCGAATCCACGAAACGCAACTGGTAGCTGCGCAAGACTTCAAGTCGTTTCTACGCCATTCTACGCTGACAGAGATCAGGCAGAAATTGGATTGAATGGAACGTGACGAAACAAGGAACAGAGAGCTACCATTTCTCTTCAATACCGCCAAAGCTAACATTCAATAAACCAATTTTATACACCCCCAGGATTCTCCATTCCATCCATCCTGAAGGTTTGATTGAACGAAAACACCGCCTCAACCAGCATTAGGGATTTGAATAGCATAACTCATTTCCTCCGCACTGGGAGTCAACCACTGTCCCGATAAAATCGCAATAGCTTTCGGTGTCAAATTTACACACTCATGATGTAACGATGGGAATTGTAAATGTGGTTTGTGTAATTTGAAACAAAGAAAAAATGCATGCATGTTTTTTGGCCTCCCACCGCCATCATATGCTCCAAGCATAAATCAACAACCCCTCGAATTCATTGTTTCTGCAAGAATATGAAAGATGAACCAAAGCAAGAAAAGTCCTCATTTGCTTGAACTGACAGACTAATAAGCGGATGTAAGACATCGTATACCGTATCACAGCTTTCAAAAGCCTCACTGCAGTGATAAAAGGTGGAGTCATGAGGAAAATGTTGGCAAAGTTTCTGGCATCTTTTACAGTGCAGCTCTCAGGGGTCGCGACTTCGTTAAAGATTGAAGAAACTTGTACTTACCTTTGGTTTAATTTTGCTGACGCAGCCGCTCTGGAGCTTCCTTTTGAGTGTAGTGGAACAGAGTGGTGTGATGAAGCCTATTTATGACTTGCAGAAGGGTCGAGATGGTTGTGGCCAGATCAAGCGTCATGCGATTCAGCAACCTTTAAAAACAGCCAAACACTTGCCCTCACTCCTTCCCTTCCCAGTTGCCCGCATTGACGGCCACATCAAGCGAATAACGCCAAACATTGTACAGGCCCTGGTTCTGCTAATTCCACGTCTCCATGGTTTCTGTGAATGATATAGCGGCCGCATAGGCGTGGCACCAACATGCATGCAAAGCGTTACCTTTCAGATTTAGCTGTCATATTTATTTAGTTTGAAGTCCATAAAATTGGTTAATCAAAAGGCATTCCAACTTCACCCTCACCCACATTTGGGCAAGGCAGTAGAGAGGCAGGAAATCCAAAGTTCACTCGTCACTGATCCAGCGCTAATTCCAACTGATCATTCAACGGAAGTGGATTCACTTTTTCGGTTCAAAGGAGAAAGTTTGCATTTACATGGTTTAACCAGCCGAGTAAGCTATTTAAACCACTATTGTTTAACTAGGCAAGGGAAGTGATTAAAAGCAAATAAAATTTCTCCCACCGAGCACACAAACACATCAGTTTAGAATGCATCTGATTGTAAAGAGATTGGATCTTTTGTACTAAAAAATTGGCGCATAATTTCAAATTCAACCTTGGCATTCTGGTGAAAAAGGGTGCCTGTCATAAACATTGGTTAGCAGGAGGTACAGAGGCCGATCCCACTGCATTAGACATCCAAGCAAGCTAAAATTATCCTCATCAATGAGGGACAAGGCTGGAGGAGGGAAGGGGGAATCGTATTTGCGCATCTCATTTCAACTCCCAAATTAAAAGGAACTCGCAACCCAGCATTAAGTTGATGGTATTAACATTACCAAGACTCCGCAATTATCACCAGGCCCCAAATCTGCCAAGTGGAAATTGAAACGATCGCAATAAAGTAGCCATAACACTGCCCTATCCTAATACCAAGGAATGCAGAGCGTCCGAGCAAAACAAAGTGAACCAAACAAGGAATAAAAAGGAGGAGTCGCTAAAGAGCCTTAAAGTCCAAATTTATTAACCTTCTAGTCCCACAAAGGAACCACCAAATATCTCCAGTTCGCCAAATTGGCTACCATGTTCCGTCACATCGGGAAAGGTGCCATTTTTCTTGTTTATCCTGTTAACATTTACCAAATACTCAACTCCCCTTCCATCCACCTATCATGGGTACGACTAGTTTGCCCCAAATGCACCCACTCTTCAATCCTGGGCCCAGTTCTTCTCGCTATGCACACGCAGTCAAGCCAAAGCCATTCCAATTTACTTCATTAAAGACCTGTATTTCAACAGAAGTACAAAAAAGATAAGCATTGAAGAAAAAAGGCAGCAAAATATGCATCTCTACTTCCACAACACGAATGACATCAACGCCTCTGTTGTCGAAGACATTGACTCACTAACCGATAGGTTAGGCTCGTATGAACCGTCTCCACAACAACTGCCCTTGCTGGCGGAGCCTCGAAGTCGCAAGTGTCATCAACAACGTTAAGACCACCGACCTCCAGACCAGAATTTCGTTGAATCTGCACTCTTCGACCGCAGATTCTCCGATGGAGAACGCGCAAGCTACGGGTAAGGTTGCGGAGAGTGCAGAGCTCAAGCAAGGTGCGGAGGTTAAGCAGAATCAGTATGACACTTCCAGAGATAAGGAAGAAGCCGAAGTACTCGCGAACAAGAGTGACGGAGTAAAAGGGCGAGGAGGGGGCCAAGTGGCGATCAATGGACTCGAAGGAAGGCGACTCTGGAGACCGCTGGTGACAGTGGAAGATGGAGGAGTCATCGACTTTGATATCCTTTAATTTTTTGGTGGGAAGAGGTAGACGCAGCAAGAGAGGCTGTGGTCCATACACCCTGTCAACGAATACTTTAGTCATTATACTTCATGAGTAACAACTCTGCAACATTCGGTAACAATCACAAAGTACGATTTCACTATTCTGTAAAAATGATGGCAAACAAAAAGTAACTTGGTGGCGAGAAGGAAAACGTCCAGAAAAGGCGACATATTTTTGATCCGAATTCGAGATTGAACAAAGGCACTACGTTTAGTGAGGATTCAATTCGCAGATTTTGCCACATTTATGATAGGCGAGAAAAGCAAAAAAACTTTTGAAGTGGAGTTAATGCTTCATTCATGCATAAGAGCCATTTGGAGGAGAGGAGGAGAAAGAGTGAAGAGAAGTGGAGGAGGAGGAATGAAAACAGTAGATGCATCGCATGCGCAGTTGAAAAGGTCAAAAGATCAAAGGTCATATTGGAGCATGTCTATACATATGCCACTCAAGAGATTCAATCATCGTCTAGTCATGATGCTTCCCTTTTTAAACTTCAGGAGGACACAGTGCGTCACAAGCTGTAAATAACACAAAAAGACTTCCAAATCACGGGAGAAATGGATGAATGTTTGATACCTTTCAATAGCTTGTGACAAGTCAGGTCAATGGACTGTTTTGGGTGCACAGAAAATTCGGGATACCAAATTCGTTGTCAAAAACGGTGAATGGCATCTTAGTACAGGTAGATGAGAAAAGTTGACTCCAAATGAAACCAAGTAACAAAAATACTGGGATGAAAAGTCTTCACTCTGAAGTAAAGTGGGTGAACTGATTGAGTCCATAGAGCTGCTCAGGATGACTGCAACCTCAAAAAACCTCTGTCCAAATTCCCGGAACTAGGGCTCCAGATTCTCGCTGATCCGCCTGATTGGATGGTATCAAGGTTTAGCCACACTTCAAATGTGTTAACAGCTAAGTTAGGGTAAAGGTCAGTTGATAACTTCGAGGAGGCGTGTCTAAGTGTAACATGTGCTCCGAACGCGAACTTTGACTCGGCCCTCAGCAATCGCCAGTAGTCAGCCCGCTAGACGTACGTATGCCGCAACTCTATGCTCACAGTCACGCTGATTAACAAAGGCACCGGCCTTTAAGCCCTTACTATTTACCGAACCAATAGCTTCGACAGGATGAAGGCAGCGGGAGTACACAAACAAAGGGAGAAAGACAAAGGACGACCTAGATTGTACCATTATTAGTTCTCAAACACTCATCGTAGTCGATCTCCACCTCGATGTCGCAATATTTTCCTCGTATCAGTGTCAAGCAGGGCAACCAACCAACCATCCATCCATCTTTTCTCGACCACAAGCGTTAACGCTTCCAGTGCCTCCAGTAAGGTCGAAAAATTCACACAACAAAGATCACAATCAAGCAGTTTTGCAGAGCCTTTGAACACCTCAGCTATTGAGGTTGCACCAGTCCGGTGTTATTTGAAAGAATAATGGCCGATGCAAGGTGCAATAAATCAGGTAACTCAATCGGGATTAAGGACAAGCTGTCCCAAGAGACAAAATCAACCCCAGAAACCCATCAATAAAAACCATTTGCTTTGACGCGAGCTAAAATTTTCACACGGAAGAGCAAACATCCAGGTAACATTTTACACAATAAAAAAAGGCTTGATTGGCATACCCTTACACCGCACAACAAAGCCAAAAGCAAAGAAACTTGACGGGATGTGTGAAGAATGGGCAGAGCAAAATAATTTCATTAGTAAACTTTGAGAAAAACATAAGGGATTTACGGAATTCAAATGATTGGATGCATTCCAAAAAAAGAAGAAACATTGAGAGATCTACTGATCCTCTGCAGTTAGCAAATTAGTCCTACGACTTGCTGCAGTTTCAACGACTTCTTAAGCCATACTTCGTCCACTTTCTTGTTCCATCATGGCTAACAAAGCACCAAAACATCTCGAAAGTATTCGACACGGACTTCATTCCTCATCCTCATGAGATTTCGCCAATCCAGTTAGTTTACTGTCGATCATACGCCGATCCAAAGTTCCGTATGGAAGTTCAACGTCCATAGAAGTAACTGATGAATTGAGGAGTACTACTGATAATCATTCAGCGATTGCTAAAACGTCTCTATAGTCCCAACACCCACCCCAATCTACCGTTCCGACTTCATTCAGGAAAGGTTGCAGCACCAAAATCACAACTACACTTTGCGTTGACTAAGGAAGACTTGGGAGAAATGACATAAGACATGTGATTTGGCAGCTGGTGCGATTGCTTGTAGCACTGCAGCAGTAACTCCCCCAGTTCAGGTATGTAAAAGTGAACTCCCAGCATGAGTTACAAGAACCGCATGGAAGTCGCCAAGTCTACCCCGCATTTCGAGGGACCCTGTGACCAGTGCACCGCGTACCTCTTTTCGTCATATCCATTGTCGCCAAAAAGTTGAATTTAGCCAACTTTCGGAAACAATTGACATAAGAATGCAGGCCAAAGACTCCTACGAAAACCTAAACTGAACCTCTCCAGGAGTGACAAGACGCGGGTAACTGCCAGTTAGACAGCTTTGTTGCATCGAGTTTCCATTCCATGGATTATCTGGCTTGAATTTCCATTGAAAGAGTTACCAGTATGTATCCTTGGACTTTGATATGCGCAATGTCCACCTCATAATAAGGATTAGAGAGGATTTAGTAGCTATTAAATTTGACAACGTCGAAAGTGACACCTTGATTTGCTTTGAACGTTAAAATGAGCAAAAAGACACACAGAAATAGCAAATAAAACTACAACTGGTTAAACAGTTTATGTGCGCAATTATGAAATCACAGAAGCAATCATGCATATCACTCGACAATAAAGTTTTGCACGCAACAAACATGCGAATGAGTTTGTAAGTAGCGAAGAGGACAACCTGACGCATATCATTAGCATGATTAGTAGCATATCATCCAGCAATGGATACCAACCATATCCTATCACGATCTCTCCATTTTTACTACGACTTTTACCTTTGGACTTGTGTGATGAGGAGAGAAAAAGTTCTGTTCCTGAGCGTGTGGACACGGAAAAGCAAAGGTTTACAATGAGGAGGAAACAAAGACCAATGACCGAACGAAACATACCACAGGTATAAAAGAAAGCTTTCTGGTCTTTAAAAATGCTGAAACAAAGCAGGTGCTCCTATGTTTCAGTCAAAACCGACAAAGAGTTCCAAGTCAAAACTGTCCAAACACTTATTAGACGTACAGAAATAATTGCTTGGGCCTTCTTCTCTTGCTAACCGAGTCAAATGCGTGAGCTGCACTCGATAGAAGGTACCAAACATCTAAGATAAACGTATTTACCCGAAACTTCCGTCAAGAAGGTTCGGATACATTCAAGTGATGTCTATTTCAATGTCAATTTAACTTCGTGAACTCCACTACTACTTGGGATAGTAAAGTGACCTTCGAGACAACACTGCGCCAATCGTAGCGTCGATAACTATTTACAGCCGATCCTCACGCCACATACAGGGGGCTTCCCTGACGAGAACACATTTGGCCGAGCTGCGCTTCCTCGACTCGTCCATCATACAAACAGTCAAACAACTGAAGAGGGGATTAAAGTTAGCCATGCTTGACAAAATAATGAAAAAAGCGCGATATGAATTAAACGAATCCATGGCTAATGTGCTAGGAGATGTAAAGAGTTTCCAGCAACTTCTATTCACTTCCATTCTATGAGAAAAGATTTTAAATTACTATGAAAGAGTAAAATAGTAAGTCTATCATCAGCATATTTGTTGCGAAGGTTTGCCTCAACCACCCCAAACCTCTACCTACTCCACTCTACTCTATTTAAGTGCCTACTAAAGATCTTGAACCAATGCAGCTGTTACCAGCTAACCCTGAACCCTAACTCCTTTTAGGAACTGAGCCACATGTAGAAAACCAGTTCAATACTGCTCCTTGTCACTGATATGTCAATTCTTCCACCCCCTCACCTATTCAGCAATGCACAGTCGTCTATCGTGCCGCAGTTCCGGTCTTGTATCACCAACGGGGCGGTGCATCCTGAAAACACTCAGCCTATCTCATCCCCAACTTCTGATCCCTGAAGCATACATAACTCGTCCTCATGGGGCCTTGCGCTGGGCAACCTTGGTGGAGCAGCACTAAACACTCATGACCACTTAAGATTTGAGAAGTTCAATGCAGATTGAGCACCGAGAAGGTAGAGTGGACTGCCCTACTTAGTGCAACGATTAAGTTGTGGCAACCGAGCCAACTGTGAAGAAGTCGCCTTGGAAATGTAGGAATAGTATGAGTTTAAATGGATGAGGGGAGGCAGCGCACTGTGTGGGCAGGGGCAGAAACATCAGTACGCCCTAGAATCTATCCTCTGTTAACCTATTGAGCTTCACATTTTCTCAATATATTTTCCGGAGTGACATACGAATGAACTACTGTTTTTACTCCGAATTCTCACAACATTTTACTATTTTGTGGTAAACAGTAACATGGACTCATGGAGACACATGACTTACATTTCAAGTCTCTTGTGATCGTCAATGGGAAGCCCATTATTTATGCCAACATTATTAAATAGAAGCCTAAACAGCTCCTTTGTTTAAACGTCCCAGTAAAATGCCGTCACTACAGAGACTTATCCACTCTTAGAATATGTTCTCACAATATTTCTTAATGAAGTTGTTCTGGAAAGTACTACTAAAATTGAAATCGGCTACATTCTTCCTGAGGTTGAAACTCGTCAATTCATTTACATTTTGAACCACAGAGGGTACACAGAGCCTCACCAGGAAATAAGAGGGAGGAGAAAGGTCAAGGATTTATCCAGAGAAATCGACTTTCGGATCTGTGGTTTAGAGTTTAGCGTCCGTGAATAAAAAGGAGAACAACTTTTGGCCAACTCTTGTCTTCCACTGCCGAAATCTGAGGAACCAACACCGTCCATGTAATTTGGGACAACAATCGGGAGCGGTATTTCAGCTAATTGTGGTGACAGAATGCGGAAGACAACGACTGACAAGATCTAGGCCTGCGGAAAGTCGATCACCCTCCAAGAGCGATAACA